GCCTCTTGCTGGATGTTATAAGTGCTCTGAAGATCGTCAATCCCATTCCAATAAATTCTTTTGTTACTGCTCTCACCACTGACATTCCCCTTCGCCAGCAAAAGTCGGCAGTCCTCGGCATCATTCTTCAGAGGACCAACGGCTGTCTGGCTGCATTTCCCAACAAGCATGTAAATTTCATTTTCCTTCACAACTGTTGTCGGCTGGCTCACATGTACTTTCTTCTTTGAGTCTGCGGAAGCACCTTCCAGAGCAGCGTTTTGGGAGGCACATTTCTCTTTATCGGCAGTACATTCCAACAGTACTTGTGTCCTCAGTTTAGTTTTGTCCAACTCCACTTTTGTTTGTTCATCAGACAACTTCAGGAGCTCCGAGGCAATCCCAGTGAAATCTCCTTCATTATCATTCTTTCCTTTGCACTGCGCCTCAGCAACGGCAAACACATCACCATTCATCCCAACAAGACTGGGAACACGGAGAGAAATCACTGTTTCCTTATCATCCTTCACATCTCCCCAATCAAAATATGTTTTTGGTGGAGGTATCGGTGCTGGCGACTTCTCCTCACTGGTTTGCTGAGCCTCAACAGTGTTACAGCACATCATCACGACGAGGAGCATCAGTGCAGAGTAGAAGGGATGCCGCGACATGTTGGGCCTCTGCGGCTCACTCTCTCTTCCTTCCCTCCTCCTTCCGCTGGATCCGGTCACGCGGCGACGGTTGTGTGTGCGGGGTGCCTTCACTGCAGCAACACGTGAGAGCATATAAATATGTGTGTGTGGGCGGCGTGTGTGCTGTTGGTCCTTTCAGAGCCTTCGAATATCACAGCAGCGATTAGCGTTTAGCCTTACTTTCCTTCCTTCTTGTGTGGAAAAGAGAGAAAAGAGGAAAAGAGAGTGAAACAGTGAACACCGCCGCCCATCCACAGTGAGTGTCACCATCATCTCCACCGCAGTCGCTCCCAACAACAACAACTGACGCACACAGACACACGGAACAGCAGAAGGAAGAACAGTGCACCGGGAACACACATCGACTGCCACCAGCAGTAAAAGCCACAGCGGGTATCTTGCGCTTCCGCCACGCGTCAGAATACACAGAGCAACGCCCACACACGCTGCCGCCAGTCGTTTTACTGTTGTCTCTCCCCGCACCCTCCATCGCACATCGCCCCGCACAGCCGGAGAATCCTTCGTGGGTGCATGAACAGCGAGAGGAACACGTCGGCACGTGCAGCTGCCGGGTGTGAATCGGCACTCCTCCCAGGCACCATTAATGCCACATCACGCTAGTCAACTGCTGTACTTCGCCAACACCACAAACGCAGCAATTCGAAGGGACGCACGGCGAGCTCACACCCTCCCTCTCCGCAAGGGCCTCAGAAAAATCCTGTGCGTGCTTTCACACCACAGCCAAATTGTGTAAAAAATGGCATGTGCATTTGTGAGTGTTTGTGTTTGGCAGCGCCTATACTTGCAGCGCAGCTGTGCGCCACAAGAGAGTCTGAAGAAAGCAACGGCAGGGAGAAGCGGATAGCACACACGCAGATTACTCTTACCATCGCACACACACACAGCCGCGGAATGGGTGCACTCAACCACAAAATCAAAAAGGAAAACAAAACAAAAAGCCGAAGCGTGGGACGACCAGCGCACACACACTCTCATTGCTCCCGTAAAGCAAAACACACACACAGAGGGAGAGAGAGAGAGGTCGCCCACTCAATGCAATAAAAACAAAACAGAAACAGTTACGGTGCTCCGCCCATGCAGCCAGGCAGGACGGCAGCGGTGCGTGTGGTGCAAAAGAGAGCACCAACGGGCATGCATGGGTGTGCATGCATATATACAATGGGCACATTATTGTGTGTGCCTCGTGGGGTGAGGTGAGGGCGAGAGTCCATGCAAGGGGACACACACACAGAGAGAGAAGGACGAGTGTGTGCGGGCGGTGCATGGCTCTCTCTCCCTCACTCTCACGCGGCCACCACCGCAGCCGCACACGCAACAACAAGAAGAAGAAGAGGCAAAAGAGGGGAGGTGGTGTGGGAGGCCGCGGTGCTGCCGTCACTGTCGCCTGTCGTCGCCGTCGTAGTTTTCATGGCTGTGGCTTCGACTGGTGTTTCCTTCGGATTGGCATCTTCATTTTTTGTTTTTCTTTTCGTGTCCCTGCACCATCAATCTGCTGGGTCACTGTTCGGGATGCCCTCTTCAGTGCTCTTGTCGGCTTCATTGTTGGCGGCACCACCGTTTGCCGTGGGTGATGGTGGCCTGGATTCTGCATTGTCGTCTTGGACGCGTTGTAGCAGTTGTATGGGCCGTAAATTCACGGTGCTGGAATGTCTATTCATTGTTGCCGGTGGTGACGGTGGTGTTGCCGTATGTATTTCCGTGTCGTTGGCTGGACTTCCATGTGTTTCTGTTGGTGCCTCATGACTTGCATTTTTTTTGTCTGCTGTTTTTTCTGCTTCTTCTTTCAGCACCAATTCAGTACAGTCGTATTTACTGAAGAGATTGTTTTCTTCCGTCGGTGTCTCTTTGTAGGACTCATTTCTCTCGGAAGTATTCTCCAAGTTGTGTATTTTAATGCCCTCAGTGCCAGGGCTGCCAGAAGAAGAAGAGGATTCAACAGTTTTTATTTCTTCGGGATCACGTACACTTTGATTGTGTGTATGGCTAGTACGTTTTCCATCCTTTGCATCTACCGGTCTCGACATCCCCTCCTGTTCCCCTGCGCCTGATCGTCCGAGATTCAGCGGTTTTTTTGTTGGTGGCTGAACTGCGACACCGTCATTTCCTTCTAAACCAGCCACCCCACTGCCCTTCGTATTATTTCCCAATTTGTTATCCTCCAAATTCTCCAGTGGGGCTGTAACATTCATTTCTTGTTCACCTTCCGCAGCCTCAACCGCCTTTATTAATGCCATTCGAGTGGATAACAGCACGCAGTCCGCCTTTGGAGACACGCCGTCATCTCCACCATTACTCGTGTGCCTCAAACCGTCCCCTCCGCCCTCACTGCAGTAATCGTCCATCGCGTGTCCAAACACCGCACTGCACCACAGCACGCAGAGGGCACACACCAGCAGCACACGGCCAGTCATCACCATCGCCATCACTCCTGTCACTTGCGTGCAGCCTTCAGCACAAACTAACAACACGTCAACGCAAAGCAAGAATAAATAGAAGGACACACACAAGAAAAAGAACAGTAAAAAGTACCGGCAGCAGCAGCACGCATTTCGTAAGAAATATTCAACCAATAAAGTGCAAAAAGCGCACAACGCCATGCAAAAGTATAATTAAAAAAGCACAACAATGAAAATCAAAACAAAAGTAAACAAGCAGCAAGAAACTAAAAAATGTAAAAACACAAAAACAGAAACCTGCACTTAAAGGGCTCCAGTGTGCATGCATCCATCCCCAACAGTGGGTCCACGCAATCGGTTGTATGCGTGGCGTGCATACAAGTTTGTCAGGGACGCGTTCGATTAAACGGATGTGGGAAAAAAAGAGAAGTGCACAGCAGGCAGAAGCAAAAAAGTAAGGCAAAACAGAATCATCATAATTACTCTCACTTTATACTTCGGACCACAGTAGAAGTGCACATAAATCCCCGTGATTGAGTGCTGGCACGCACAGCCCGCACACACCTCTTTAGTTCACAGTGGTGTACGCCAGCGCGGATACGGCGAGCAGCAGCGGGGCACACACACACGCAGAGCTGCTGAGGCTGCCGTCCATTTCGCGCAGACGTGACGGTGCGCGGGTCGTTGTGGTTGGCGCCTCTGTATTCCCGGCCGTAGTACTTGGTGCCTCTCTTATATTCGTAGTAGTGTTTCTTTTGTTTGCCATCTTCAACTTCTGATTTGATATCTGTGCCTTATGATCCTCATCGCCTCGTGTATTTTACTGCGCCCTTAATTCTGTGCATCTGACATACCGGTCGCACCTTGTGTGTGTGTGTGGAGACTGAGTTGCCAAACCTGGTGGCTCTGGATTATCGTTAGCCGAACTCAGTGACTCTGGCGGAACTCGTGTCTGTCCAGTGATGGCTGTACCTGCTTCCTTTGGCAACGAAGGTCCCGGACTTCTCAAACCCTCCTCGCTGTCTCGCCCACTCTCTGTCTGTGGCACACCGGTCTCCCCACCATATGGCTGTAATGCACCAGGCATGTTTTTGTAGGATCCGGTTTCCCTAGCGCAGGGCTGGGAGGACGGCTGTTATCGTTATTATCGTCTCCTGCAGCCGTCACGCACACGGACGAGCAGCCGCAGCACAAGAGCGCAAGGACCAACACGGCGCCGCACCGTCACCATCGCAGTCATCATCGCCCGTAGTGGAGTCGCTGGTGTCAGTCAGCTGATCGGTGAGACGGAAAGGAAAAGAATGGAACGAGAGGGAGAGGGACGGAGTGCAACGAATGCATCGAGAGAGCGCAGACAACATGAGGAGAGGGCAGCAGGCCCAGCCGCACAGTCCACACACCACGAGACGGCATCCACGCAAGGAAGGCACACAACGCCAGCAGCCACCCACCATGCAGGAGGAGAAGATATCCACCACCATCTCCCCCAGCTCATTCCCGCAGCCCCAGGGAAATGTCCAAAACCCGCGGCCACCACAAAACGCACACGGAGCAAGCGAACCCTCATCCATCCATGACGCGGCAACAAAATTTCCTGCCATCCCGCCATCAATGGGACACGGAGCCCAACTCAGCGCAGTCACACGCGGTGCATCACACACGCAGGAAAGTAGACTCGGGCTGCGCTCCCTCTCTCCTCCTCTTCCTCATGGCCTCGGAAGAAGACAACAGCCGCCACACGCAACTGCCAGCATGCACTACAAAAGGTGCATTCAAATCCACTGCAAT